TATATATATATATATATATATATATATATATATATATATATATATATATATATATATATATATATATATATGTACTGTATGTTAACTAATTGTGTAATTGTTATAATTAAGAGTAAAAATCATAATGTTACCAGTGTTAAAAAATAATATTACCAGTGTTGCGGGGAAAAATATTGTGCACGTGATGTGCAAGCATATGTAGAGCGTAAATACGAAATTAAGATATGCTGTCTGTCTTTGAAAATATAAAATAAAACAGCTGTAGGATAAAAATTGATGAAGTTTTTTTTTGTCATATTTGGAAAGTTGAAGACCATTTTATTCATATTTTATTTTATTTTATAGTTGCATGGTTTAAACATGAGCGCATTGGCTCGTGTCCACGTACAGCACGGCGAAATATTTGTCTGTAATATGCAACCTTCTTTTTTGTATTTTTAATTCCTAAGCATGTAATTTTTTTATACATACTCGTATATGTGAAAGTGTTAAAGATTTAAACACTTGACGTGTGCTTAAAAATTAAATATATCCAAACACATTTAAACAGGTGTATAAATACACTGGGCTAATAATAATAATTTAGGACAATTCTCAGGACAATTCTCACCAGTCTTCACAAAGGAAAAAATAAATTTAAAGTAAAGCCCTCGGCAAACATCAACCTCAAATCAGGAATAAAAAGAATCATCATCAGGGAAGATGGCGTGGTAAAATTGCTGAAAAACATCAATCTATCAAAAGCAACCGGACCCGATAATATCCCAAACAGAGTCCTTAGACAATGTGCAGACCAAATAGCACCATTATTGTCGATTATATACCAAAACTTTTAAGATACGTGGAAACTGCCAAAAGGCTCGCTCAGCGCAAATATATCGTGTGTCTACAAAAAAGGTGACAGACATGCAGCTAAAAACTACAGACCAGTCTCCTTAACATCAGTACCTTGCAAGCTACTAGAGCATATTATATGTCGACAAATAATGAAACATTTGGAAAGCAATAAAATATTAACATCCTTGAACAATGGCTTCAGGTCTGGATATTCATGCGAAACCCAACTCGCTGTAACCATACACGACATGTTACAATCCTATGATAAGGGCCACCAAGTAGACATAGCGACTCAGGATTTCTCCAAAGCATTCGACACTGTCTCCCATGATAGACACCTGGTTAACAAATTTCTTTACAAAAAGGACAATGAAAGTCCAGTTAGAAGGGGAATACTCAGACTGAATACTCGACAGATTACTGGGGGTACCGCAGGGAACAGTACTTGGGCCTATACTTTTTCTCTGTCACATAAATGATCTCCCTGATGCAGTAAAATCATCAGTTAGGCTCTTTGCCGACGACTCTCTTTTGTACAGGGAAATTAAATCGTCTAAAGATCAAAACCTATTACAAAAGAATCTCGAAAAACTGGAACAGTGGGCATCAGACTGGGGTATGAGATTCAATGCAAAGAAATGCTATATATTATGGATACGTAAAAAGATAAACAGCCAATACACCCTTGAGAACCACATCCTAGAACAACTGACATCAAATCCCTACTTAGGACTCCAAATACAAGAAGACCTAAAATAAAAAAGAACACACAAACAACATTTCAAACAAAGCCAATTCCACCTTAGGCTTCCTAAGAAGGAACTTACAACATTGTCCAAGGGAATATAAAAAGATAGCACTACTAAAATTCATAATGGAGTATGGGGCTGTCATCTGGGATCCATACACCAAATAAGAAACAACAAAACTAGAATCAATACAAAGAAGAATTGCAAGATTCATAACAAAAGGTTATAAATCAAGGGAAGAGGGCACAATGACTAACATGCTCAAAGAACTTGACATTCCCTTATTGATTAGAAACCAGACGCCAACAACAACGTCTGATCTTTTTTCTATAAAGTGAATGAGGGGCAGATACTAGCCATTAAACCCAACCAATATATCATATTCCAAAAACAGAAAAGAAACATCAGACCCAAAGTGTACAAAGATTACCAAGCAACAAATATAATATATAACAGGATAAGAAATAATAGCAGAGCAGTAGAAATCCAGACGCAAAGACAGATCAATTCAAGAACTCATTCTTTGTGCGCACTGCGATAGATTGGAACCATCTGGAAGAAGAAGTCGTCCGTGCCAATAAGCTAGAAAGCTTTAAGTCAGCGTTGGAACATCAGCGCTATTAAACGCTTCGTCACGTCAAAGTACTTCGAGTTACTGTGATGTACCGATACAGATACAGGATACTAAAAGCGTTTATAAATACATGTATATCGTTTCGACTGATACATAAAAAGAAGTTTTTGAGACAAAAGTGTTAAATTATTGATATCGGATAGTTTAAAGTAACATCTCGTTTCATTGGCTAACCATTAATTCAAAAGTGATTGTGCGGGGCACATAGTCAAATCAAAGACACAATGAACGTGCTGGTTTTCTGTATACTTTAATTTGCACTACAGCACAAAAAGCTAATACTGATTCAATCATATTGGCTCCACCTATCCTGCGCCTTTTGCCTATTGTACAGCAATTGTTAATTTCTTTGCGTGATAATTAGTAACCCGTTGTCATATAAATGTTACTTGCATTTTTGGTATAATGTAAATGTTATTTGGTTTTAAAGTACATGTAGTGATGTACTCAGCAATGAGAAAGACAGTCAAGGAACAATTTCTTAAGAATAGAGTAAATAAATCGAAGAGTTCAGCTTCTGGCGTAATGTGAAAAGAAACACATTTGTGCAATAAATGATATTGACAACGAGGCATACACGACATTTATCCTTGGTTAATATAACATATATCAATTTACAAAAACTAGCACTTAAGACTTTATTAAAAGGAAGATGTAAAGCTAAAATATATGTATCTACCTAAACTATCCTGATTTCACACAGGGGCAAAAAAAGCAAAAGAAAAATATTTATAATTGTATGCCATTTGATTGATGTTTTAAATGGTTTTGGTTTCCGGCTTTCGGTTTCGGTTCCATTTTCTGTTTAAGAATAAAATGATCGAAGAAATTACGCAATATTTCTATATTTATATGTCTTTAAATAGATTTACCTGTCAACAACTATGTGTATGTAAACAGATTTGTGGTCGTACTCTAGTCTATGTAATCAAGATAGAGCTTTGTAAATCGCTGCCGCGTCATCGAGGTTTAGGTCGATATTGCGACGACGTGATAATGCGATAATGCGATGGCGAGGGAACATGGAACAATAAAGCAGTGGTGCGATACGCAATAGTGCAATAGCGGTGACACGATGGAATGATGACAATAAAGCGATATTCACTATAGCTTCAATGTGATATCAGACCATTGTCGCACCATCCTTTCATCGTTATTGCACCATCACTTCATTGTTATCTTCGATCGTCATAGCATTATTCCTCCATCGTCTCTTTACTAGATGATGCGATAGTGAACTTCATGGCGCTTTCCAGATTCCATTCATGCGAAAAGAAACTCTTTGTAAAATTCAATCTCTTAGCCCAAACCATTCTTGGGGAGTATCAAAAGTACCTCGTTTTCTTCTTTTCTTGCACAGTGATTGTTGAGATTTTTTTCCAATTACCCTTTAATTTTGTTGACTTGTGAATATTATGTCCTTGTATTGTCGATGGCTATACAACTAACTGTAAATGAATTTAGCTAAATCTCAGTGGCCTTTTACACAGTTTAATGAAGAAACAGAGTCATATGTACAAAAGAATAATGCTTAAAAAATGAATATACATAATATAAGTGAGTTTAGGGACATATTAATATGAATAGAGAATATTAACATACTGTATTTACAAAAGAGCTATAAGCATATTTGAAAAAAAGAAGCCATATGATCAATCTTTCATTAAATGCTAGTATTACATGTTGTGAATTGAAAATAAATACATAAAAAGAAGGTTTTAGTACATGCTTCCAGCGAAATCACTCTTACTGCATTCATACATACAGTGATTTTTACTTACTGTACTTTAAAACGTATAATATCAAATCAGTTTATGTAACGACTGTTGCAGCTGATAAATCAAAAACGTTTGTCCTCACGCTTGTCCGATTGTTTTACTGCAAGATGAATTAATATATTAGTTTAGTCCAACACAATTTCTCAGCATTATAATATAATAACATTATAAATATAATGAAGATATCAAAAGTATACACTACATAGGCAGTACATGTATTCTGATACAAACTACAGATTGCAGTTTAAAAGAAAGTGGAAAAATTGTACCGATAATTACTTTAATTGCCGTGAATTAGAAAGAAAAATCAGCATGCTCTATACATTTCAATATATACTTTCATAAAATTACAAGAAAAATTCTACACAAAAATATACAACTAGTGAACAGCAAAAAAAAAAAAAACCAAAACAAAACAAAACAAAAACAAAAACAAAACAAAAAGCAATAACAACAAAACAAACATGCAATGTATATAGGTCTATAACTCATAACTACACGAATACTGGAGATCACTAATTTTTCGCGACATCTTATTTTCGCGAGATAGCGAGACAGAATTTTCGCAAATTGTGGTTATTGCTCTATATAATCTTAAGAAATACTATAATACGCGAGAATTAAATTTTCGCGAGCACACTGTCTCGCGTAATTACGAGAAAATAAAGTGATCTACAGTATATGCAATCAAAATACAAACTACATGACGTGATTATTTTATCTTAAATTAGAAAAATTATAGTACAATAGAGCGTTGTAAAACAAAATAATTTGTATAGTGTCATTATTTCTTAATTCAATATCTTTGTACTAATTTGTTTAAAAACATGTATGTAATTAATGATACAGATTTTACTCCCTTTCTATTGTTTGTCGTTTTCGCGATAGTGTAGATATATTTGATATTAATTACGAGTCTCTCTATTCAACTGTGCCTTACAAAAATATCATTCTTAGTCATAAAAAAATTGGATGTAAGAGGCATGACCTTCAACATTTATCATTTGTTTATAGTTCTTGTTTACTGAATATTCTTAATGGGTTACAATTATTATCCTCGTCAACCTGGCCTGAAAGTCTACCTATTTCCAAAAAGACCCGGGTTTTTTTTATTTGCATTTTTCCAACCATTTCATTTACATTATAAATAACAAACTGGCGAACTGCAACAAAATCAATCCTGTTATTACAAATAGCGAGGAAGCAGTTGCAGATGTTGGTATAGCAAACTCGTAAAAACATGGTGTTTCAGTTACATTAGGAACAATTACATGGATTGACATACCCTTTAAGTGAATACTTTCTACCTTTATATTACTCGTTGCAATAGCAATGAATAAAGGGGATTCAACTTCGATTATTGGTTGGTGCTGATTGCTCATATTTGAATTATGGACATCAGACGGCAGAGCATAAACATCAAATTGGAATTCTGTACCACTAAAGGTTTTGTGTTCTAGTTCGTTAACTTTGGTGATGCATGTTTGGGATTTCTTTAGGTTTTTCTGAATAACAATAAATTCTAAATAAGGAAATATTTCTTTTAGAGTACTAACTGTTTCATTTGCTTTGCTCCATTTCTCGACGCCAATATGCAAAGAACTTAGTTTGATCTGGAATTTGTCTGAACAGACTATTTTAGCGCAACTTTCATAAAAGGACTTCATATAATCTGTAATATCAGATAATCCATTGTTGCATTCTTCAAGGTAAGGTTTTGATGAATTACCATGTTTGTATTTTTGAGCCAGGACAAAAGTAGCACAACCTTCGACATAAAACTTAGAAATATACAAAAATACTCTTGAAATGGTCGTACCGTTGCAAAACCCTTCCTTTTCTTTTAAGTGATTAACTAGTGCATTATTTCCAATCACTTTTGCACCTATCAAAATGCTGCGAATCTTTCGTAAAGGGGTAATTATCCCATTGCAGCGATTCCAAAAGTTGTCTTGTAAACCTTTGTCATTCATGTCTTTTTTGAAATAATAATAATCTGTAAGACAGCTATTGATATCCTGGATGTCCCGGTTAAGACCATTAAAGAATATTTCCTCAGTTATAAAAATTTTAAGATTATCAATTTTCATATCAATGTAGGACAAAGTATCATCAATTTGTTTTTGAATTTCTGTTAATTTCGACAAGACCTCATCGTTATCGTTGTCGTTGAGGATGGATGCCAAATCGAAGCTCACAGAAATCAATTCCTTTGAAAGTTTGAGAAATTCAAAGACTGCCTTTGCCTTGCAACCAACTTCATTAGCAAACAGTACTAACTGCAAATAAACATTGAATATATTTTGATGAATTTAAATGTATAAGGAATAAAAAAAATCAAAATAAAACATCACTTTGCATTATTGAAATTTGATACAGAAATCTACTTACTATAAGGAAAAAATACAGCTTGCAGTTCATCTTGAAAGCATAATTCTTTAATGCACTTTCCTAAATAAAATATTTAAGACTATCTTACTTTTCAAATTGAGAATTAAAATGAATGATTACTAAGATCTATTTTTATCAACTGATAAAATTCAATAGAGATTAGGAAAGAATGGAAAGTTCCCACCGTAAAAGCATTTTCGTTTATCAATGAAATCAGCAGGCATTCCATATTAACTGGTCCGAATTATTTTTAGAAAAGAAATTAAATCAAATACTGTAATTATAAATCATTACATTTCGCTGACGGACGACGGACACCTCATAAGTTCTTCTGGTCTCTATCCAATAGATAACAAAACAAAACCTCAATATATGCAAGAATTTAGGAAAAAAACCAGAAAACCCTTAAAAATTGAAATGGGCGTATATCATACTAAAAACTCTTTGAAAAGGAAATAGAAAATTGATATGTGACATTCACATAACAAACTCAGCTCAAAGTCTTCAAGTGTTCAGTAAAAAAGTGGAAAACCAAGTGGGAGAGACTGAAAAAACAAATGGAGGGGCAGATCGACTAGACGGACAGATAGGCAAACAGACGGTCAGAAAGACACACTGGATATCTATCGTCCTCTTGGGTTTCACCGGTAGCTAGGGGACTAAAATTATTATGATCATGCAAGCATGCTTGAAAATGACATATACATGTATTTGGTTTAAATCTATTACATGTTACAAACTTTTTTCGTTATTTTTAGACATGTTTGGTTTATTATTTTCCCTTCGAAATAGCACGTTATTTTTTTAAACTGGGTTCATCTTAAGTTTGTAATATGATCATTTAAATCGATAGAAATACTTTTAGTATCAAAAAGCATGACGTTAAGAAACTGAAACGATTTGATTGAATGCCTATTATTTAACCTTCATGCATTCAAAGTGGTGGTGCAATATCTCTCAAATCTATTTGACGTACCGTTAATATATGTAACAGTTATTAAACTAAAATATATATATATATATATATATATATATATATATATATATATATATATATATATATATATATATATATATATATATATATATATATATATATATATATATATATATATATATATATATATATATATATATATATATATATATATATATATATATATATATATATATATATATATTTACCATATTGCACAATTTCTAGGTTCACTAGCCATAAAGGTACAATATTTTAAAACGAGAAATGTCTCATTTAAGGATTGTTTTTTAGTTTTGTGTGAGTTATTGGTGTGTGTGAATCACACAGACATGTCACGTAGGCATATTTAATGAAGCGCGTTAGCGCTTCATGAAAAATATGCCTATGTGCAAGTCTGTGTGATTCACACACCAATAATTCACAGTAAACTGAAAAACATTCCTTATATTTACATTTTACCTGTTTGGAGGCAACTAAAATATACTCAATATTTGAATTTCTCGCTGTCCTATATTATTGCATTTTACGAACGTCGCTGCAGTCTCATTGTGACGTCACGGTAACGCACGTTTCTCCGTGTATATTTCTACGCGTGAGTATACACGAAAATGTTTTTCAAATCAATTTCAGAGTAAGCTTACTAGAAAAAACACAGTGAATGTAAATATTCAAAATTGTTCTAACTGAACTTCAATTAAGGTATGAAGTTCCATATTATTTACCAATAGACGATTAATTTGAATAAGAAATGCTTAATTTTAGAATTAAAAATAATGAATAACTTGAGTAATACAAATAAGGAAATGAATGCTTTGATTGGTCATTATTTTAGTAGCTTTAATTTGTAAATGATTTGAAAGACAAAGTTTTAGTATATATACTAAGAAAGTGTAAAAATTCTATGAAGTTAAAATGCCACCGCAACTGTTCTTGTTAATATTAATATTTTGTCGCTAAAATTAATTTTTGTAAAATTTTGAAAAAAAAGAAATATCAGACATATCTAATTTTCTTATGAAATCATAACTCAAATTAATAATTTAATATAAATTTGTATCTGTCTTAAGGGTATACCATGCACTTGTTATGGAATTAAGTCTTATGATTAAATAACGTACATATCCAAGAACGAATTCGATGTCGATATCGACGTAATTGACAATAATATGTCGATATAGATCATGATGACCACTTATTTGAAATACTTGGTACCATATATGAGAATTTTTGCTATGTTGATGTCGTCGATATCGACAATACCATGACGATATCATATCGATATCGATCCTATTTTTTTCACAGTGAGGTATAACATAGTTTTACAAGGTCACAAGTGATGTCAAATTCATTCATTTTTAGCATGAATATGAAATTAAATTTTTATAAGGAAAAGGTTAGTAGTTGTTTATGTTTTGATTAGGTTAAGAGTAAGATGTTGGGTGAGGGTGAAAGTTGTAAAGTATGTTTTAAACAGTCATGATTCGATATTGATACGATATCGTCGATATCGATACGATATCGTCGATATCGATACGATATCGTCGATATCTACGACATCGACAGTAGGGTACACTAATTAATCAGAAAGTAAATATGCACAGGCGTTGCATTAAGATAACAGAACTAATTGTCAAGGGATATGTTAAAAATAAAGATTTTGTATTAGGATGAAGTAATATAATATAACAATCATGAATTGATATCGATACGATATCGACGATATCGATAGCAGGAACAATATTCGTAAAAGTAAAGTTATTTAACATAAATACACATACAAAGTAAGAGGGACGGTATTTATAAAGAGCTGAGCAAACATGATTCGATATCGAAGCGATATCGTCGATATCGACAATATCGACACTACAGGGAAAGTTCTATGAAAGATATTTTTCATTTAGTATTGTAGATGGAAACCATAATTCTTTAAACAATCATTATTCGATATCGGCAAGATATTGTGGAAAATTACAGTAAGGGAGACTTCTTAAAACAGAAAGTACTGTAATAAGCACATAAGGATAGAAAATATAATAGTAAATTATAAAAAAGTAATTTGTCGATATCGTTACTACATCGTGTCTTGGACATAACTCTTAAATAATGGGCTATAGTTTGAAAAAAAATATACATTGTAAATATATAAAAGTTCTTCAAAATCAAACCACTTATTTCAAACAGCAACATTAAATAAAAAAGAATAATTAGTTTATAATGCATCACTATCTAGATCAATGACAAGTACGGCATACATACACATGTAGCATAAACTTACATGTAGATGTCCTTTTCGAATATCGTCCGTTAGTTTTCAATTTTAAGGTAGGAGAAAAAATGATAACATTATTCCTTTTCACTCTGTTAAAATAAAAGGAAATAAAAAAAAAATGATTACTTGGACCCAATTTTATCAATTTCTCTAAACGTATGACATTGAGAAACTGAAACCTTTTACGGTATTTTGTCTAAATACCTACTTAACATAGTATTACATAAGCATGTGCAATAGTTCTTAATCTTTTTATTGGCATATTATTCACAATGTAGCTATAGAAAACATAATAGCTTCCGTGACAGAGGTATCATTTAGCTATTAATTTATATTTAGAGGTTTTTGGACATCTTCCAAAAAGCTACCTTTTTTTTAAACGAAACTTTTTGGCACTGTCAGAGTTAGGGAGGAAAGAAAATTTCTCGTTCACAATTGTTTTGACTGAAATTCAATTTAAAGTATAAACATTCAATTTAAAGTGTGAAAATTCAATTTAAGGTATGAAAATTTATATTATTTAAGATTTACGATTAACTCTCACTAGCAAACAAGGCTTAGACTATAAATTTAAAATTATTAATGACTTGAGTAAAGCAAACCCAAAAATTGATGCCTGGATTAGTCATTATTTTTGTATTTCTATTGTTTGAGAATACCTAAAAAAATTATTTTCTAGAACACTAAGAAAGTATAAACATTTCAAAAATCCATCTACCAGTGTTGTTGTTTATCTATATACACTGAACAAAACTTCTTAGTGTTCGCTTTAATAAATACATTTATTAAAAACCACTTAATATAATTTTTGAAATTTTTAAATGATTAGAACAAATCATTTTTCTCTTTAATTGTAGAAAGAAAATCAAATATAATCGATGAAAACGCTTAAAAACAATAACTTTGTACTTTGTGGCACTTGTTTTGTGTAATTAGCTTCCTTTTGTAATGATTATCAAATTTTAAAAACTGGTTTCACTTAAAACACATAACAGTAGTAAAATAAACATTGAGTTAGAAGGGAGAGCCGTTGGAATGTCGCTATCTGGATTATCCTTGTACCACGTTTTACTCACTTTTATCTATGTGTTTAATTTTCCTTGATATAACTTTTAAAAATGAATAAACAGTATTAAAACCCATTTAAAAACATTTTTCTTTGGCCTCTGTGTTACTTTCATCGCCAAATTTACCACAATTTGAAAGCTAAATTTAACCAAACCGGAAGTGACCTTAAGTTCTTCATCTGAGGCTAAGTTAAAAAGCTATTTAATTGTCCTGAAAATTGTCTTAAAAAGATGATAACAAACAATTTTAATCTGTATAATTTATTAGAAATCAGTGCTCTTGACAGTCTTAACCATCTTAACCAACAGCTCAAACAGTCTGAATCATTCTTAACTTTGCACTTACATGCCTAAACGCCCAAGGATATTGACCAAAAGATCTCTGTGTGATGATGCACTGTCAAATTCGTGGATTTGAATCTCATTGAACACATTTGGGACTTTTATAAGGAATGTCAAAGCCCCCCTCCCCCTTCCACACAATATCACCGGTTTGGAAGGATCTATGAAGCATGCATGGAAGCAGATGGGTCAAACTCCTATTCAGAAGTACATGGTATCCAGCAGTAAAGGTTGTCTTGCAGTAATTATAGCGAGTAGTGGTCTTACCTCATAGAGATTATATTGTGTGATTTTTTCATTTTGATGATTCATCATTTTCTTGAAACTGCTTAAAATTTTGACAAGATAAATGAAATTTACGCAATATCGAACTGAAAAATGCATCAACAACCATGCATTAAAG